CTAAGTTGCCCACTCCTCACGTGACGGTTCTGACCAGTAGTAGTCTTAGGGTCCGGGGTCTTCCTGTCCTTCATTGAATCCCTTCACTACCTCCAGGCGGGCCGTTTCTTCTCTTATCTCTAAGGTTAGCGTGTCAGCTGCTGATGGTAGCGGCCTTCCTTGCTTCCTTACCTTCCAGCTCAAACTGACTCTGGGGCCGCCTTCTACTTGGCTAGGTAAAAGTCCAGCATACCCAGGTAAAAGTTCACAGCTTGCAGCCTAAGAGTTCAGCAAACTTAGCTGCTAATGCTAAGCAAGTTACGCGAGGCAAGCTCAGCATAAGCAGTACAGCAAATAGCACAACGGGCTTGCAGTGAGTGGAGAAGATCAGGGCAGTCAGCACCAGAAGCAGAAGAGAGCCAGCTAGGAGGACCACGTTTTGCAGCTGCACACAGTGGGACCTGTGGCCCAGATTTCTTCGGTGGGGTTCCCTGGGAAGCCTGTAAATTCAGATTAGGATGAGAAAATAACGGACTAGGTCGGGGGCCTAGAAGATCACGGGGTGCCTCACTGCATTCAGCACCAACAGACGTGCCCATTCAGCACCAACAGATGTCCCTGCTCAGGTGCTCTCTTCAGCATGCTGCTGCCCATTTCTGTTATGTGCTGGCAACTTTTTCAGAGAGTGGTGCCCATCTGCCCAGCTGCAATACCTGCATACATCCCCCATGTCTAGCTCAGGGTGGGGGCTGCGTGCTGGGGGCTCTCCATCCGGCACGGGAGAAGCCGGAATTAGAACCAGCCCTGGCCCACGGCTTCTCTGGCTGGAGATCAGCATCGAAGCACCTCGCACACATTGGACTGCAAAATAACCTGTTTGGGCTATACTAGAAAGGGGTGGCAGGGATGTGTTTTGTCTTCCTGGAGTCACCAGATAGCTGCGTGATCACTGGATCACCCAGCCCAGGCAATCCTGGCAACTGAGCCATGAAAAAGAGTAAGATCTGCGATGCCCGGGAGGATTCGGCCAGGCAGCCCCGGCCACAGCAGGGCTCTTTGCAGGGTGGTGACGAGGCAGGCCATCCCCTGGCCGAGAGGCAGACGGCTTTGTGCTGGTCCAGCCCTTTCCTGCACAGGTCTGTCTGTGGCTTGGGGGAGGCTGCGATGCATCTCAGATCCGTGTCGCACTGGGAGGAAACAGCGTCCGGTCTCCATTCCCCACAAGATAAAGGTCAAGAGATGCTTCCAGTAATGGATGCCAGAGCTTGGCAGCTCTGCCACATCTGCCCACAGCCCCTTCCTTCCCAGTGCTCTCGCTCAGCACAGCCCCTTCACTGCTTCCTGGGTGACCCCCTGCTCTTGACTAACACCCATCTCACCCTGAGAGGTATTTCAGCTTCAGCTAGTCAGGCCCAGCCTGGCGTGCCGTGGTAGCCACGGGCAGAGGGTGCAGACGTCTGCCCTTGTCCAAGGGCATCAACATGGGGGACTGGGCCAGTTCCTCTGTGAGTGTGTGTGGATCTTTGTCTACAGTCCAGCTGCTGTTTGGGGCTGAGCTGATGTCTCTGCTCTGCTCTTTCTGCCATCGGGCCCTTCACCATGCCTGGGGTGCTCTGCTGCACTCATGGTCCCGAGACTGCAGCCAGCTGTCCTTGTGCAGCACTGGCCACCGCGCTCAGGAGAGATGGAGTTGCCTTGGAGCTGAGGAAGTTGGCTTTGAGAAGGGCCCAAGGGAGCAGGTTTTGTCCTCCCAGGCTGAAGGCTACCCTGCTTCAGGAAGGGGTGTTCCCCTTTGAGAAGCTTAAGGCTCCAGTTCCTCCCTTCACTTGCCAGGCAGCTACTTCTCACATCTGTGCCCGGTTATTGCCAGAATGCAATTAAGCCAAAGCGTGATTGCATCTCCTTCTTGGGGCTGTAATGTAATCACTGCCAGGGCCACAGCAAAGGCTGCTTGTACAGCAGTGTGGAGCCCGGCATCTGCACAAGGCTTTTTCAGCCCTGCTTCATTTGAGACATCAGCTTCTGATCTCTGCTGGGTATGGGTTCCTGGACAGGTCACAACACCGTACTGATCTGCAGCACGTGTCCCTGCTTCCTCCGGACACAAGCCAGTTTGACTTCCCCACATAACCAAATCCTCAGGGTTCCAGCAGTGATGGGTGTTTTCAACCGTCACTGAAGGTGGCGGAGCAACATCTCATATACGCATTCCCCCCGCCCCGACCCCCCCCAGCTGTGTTGCAAGAGGATTAGCAATAACCTTAGAAACCACAAGATGAAGCCCAACAGAAACAGTGGGGACAACAGAGGCAACTGGGGGGGTGGGGCATGACAGAATGGTTTGGGCTGGAAAGGACCTCACAGATCATCTAGTCCCACCCCCCTGCCACGGGCAGAGACACCTTCCACTACAGCAGGTTGCTCAAAGCCCCATCCAGCCTGGCCTTGAACACTTGCAGGGAAAGGGCATTCATAACTCCTCTGGGCAACCTGTTCCAGTGCCACATAGTAAAGAATTTCTTTTTTCAGTCGAATCTGAATCTACCCTTTTTACGTTTAAAGCCATTACCCCTTATCCTGTCACTACCCGCCCTTGTAAAAAGTCCCTCTCCAGCTTTCTTGTACACCCCTTCAGATACTGAAAGGCCACAATAAGGTCTCCCCAGAGCCTTCTCTTCTCCAGGCTGAACAACCCCAATTCTCTCATCCTTTCCTCACAGTAGAGGAGTTCCAGCCCTCGGATCATTTTTGTGGCCTCCTCTGGACCCGCTCCCACAGGTCCATGTCTTTCCTGTGCTGAGGGCTCCAGAGCTGGATGCAGGACTCCAGGTGGAGTCTCACCAGAACAGAGCAGAGGGGCAGAATCACATCCCTCTACCTGCTGGCCACGCTTCCCTTGATGCAGCCCAGGATACAGCTGTCTTTCTGGACTGCAAGTGCACACTGCCAGGTCATGTTGAGCTTCTGTCAACCAGCAACCCGCAAGTCCTTCTCCTCAGGGCTGCTCTCAACCCGTTCTCTGTCCAGCCTGTATTTGTGCTTGAGACATCCTGCCAGCTCTGAGGGCAGTGCTCAGCCCCACAGGCTGCTGCTGCTCTGCGTGGTGAGGATTTATGTCTTATGACATCTGCCAAGAATAGGAAGCAGAACATTTCACAGGAAAATTTATCAGCTGCCAGCTTAATAGGAAGAAGGCAGGAAAGGCCTTTTTTACCTAATCTTCTCTCAGGATCATATTCCACCAGCTTGCTCTCAGAGATGGTTCAGTTGTCATTTGACAGCAGCAATGAGGGGTGGTCGCTGAAACAGCGTGCCTGTCAAGAGTTTCTGTTGCCGGAGGGTAGAAACAGAAGCATTATACTCCCGAATCAAAAGATGAAGTTGAAGAAGAACAACTGAGCATGCGTACCATTTTACATACCAGATGAGAAGTTTTTAACCAGTTGTTAAATGGAATAATGACGTATATATATTAAGAAGATGAATATGATAATGTTAAGTGTATAAATGACTGTCGCTTTGTGAACAAGCTGTGCTGCCTTGGGACGGACATTCATATTTGTGCAAATATGCCATAAAATACCTCTGCTCTGTGTGTTTATTGGCGTACTGCACACCGGGTAAACGAACCCCAGGTTTTGAGACAAGAGCAGCAACCACCTTGCCTCATGATAGGGCGCTGGGGTCCCCACCATGACCCTCCCCTGGTGCTGCCGGCAGAGCTCTCCTCAGAGCTGCCCCAGGCCACATCTCCTAGGTGTGAGCAGAGACCGCCCGACTCTGACGGGTGCTGTGGGAATTCACAAGCCAATCGCTGGCTGTTGCTGGGCTGGTGCACCTACCCTGCCCATCCCACTGTGATGGCAGCCAGCACCTGCCTGACCCCCGCATTCTCCAAAGCCCCCTCATAACCCTGCTTCCCATACCATGCCAGCTGCCAGAGGTGTTTGTGGGGCCGCCCGGCTCCCCCACCGCAGAGGGAGGACTCACACCACTGGGGATGGGTTAGCACAGGCAGTGATGACAACACTGCCAGCACTGTGGAGGAGAAGTGTGCTGCTCAGCAGGCATGACCCTGCATCTGCTCCACCGCCCGCCAGGTGCTCCAGGCCTTTGTGAGTGGCCGCTGTTCTGGAAGGTCCCCGCACCATGGGAGGTGTGAGGCAGGAGTCAGTGTCATCCTGCTCGTCACCATTCCTGAGAGGGGAAGCATCTGCCACTGCGTGGGATGGGTGCCAGGGAAGGGGAGAGCCACCAGTGGTAGGAAGATGGCTCTGGCCCAGGACACACCTTGCTGGGGATCATGGCATCTGGCAGCTCACTGAGCAGTCAACGTCCCACCAGAGCCCCTGGGAGTCACAGGCACATACAGAACTTCTCCAGTGAGCAAGCAAGGAGGGCTTGCTCAAGGCAGCTACAGAAAGCAGGATGGTGGCACCTAGCCACAGCAGTAGGAATGCTGTGGGAAGGAGATGAAGGGAGGTGGAGGGCCAAAGCCCAATGCTGAGTCAGGGTGAGCAAGTGCTCCTTCCCTCAAGCCACTGATCCCCATTGCTTGTGAAATGGATGCTGAGGCCTGGAGCAGGGCCTCCTGCCACAGCCCTTATCTTTGCTGCTTCATCCTCCTCCAGGACGGAGCCTGGGCAGTGGAAGCTTGTGCAAAACAAAGCTGAGAAACTCTGGGGCTAATTAATTACTAGCTGCTGGTAGTGCTGGCTGAGCCCCCGGGGACTCCAAGGCTGGAGCAGAGGAGAAAGTGCAGAGAGATACTGGAAAATTACTGCTTAATTCTTTGGCATTACACTGGAAAACTACTGTTTAATTCTTCGGCTTTACATCTGATTATATGGCATCTGGTAAATGAGGGACAGGAAGAGGCTGATAACAAGCCAGCCACCTCGACAGCTCTGCAGGCCTTCTCCCCAGCAGCAGGGTAGCTGACTGTGGCCCTGGTGAGAGTTCAGTGTCCAGCTGCATGCAGGTCCTCGGGCCGGCACTGCCCATGCCTGGCCCCGCAGTCATCAGTACTCTTGCTGAGTGTCACAGCCAAGGAACTCTACCCGCAGGGCAATGTGATTGTGCCACTGCCGGGGGTGTATCCTCAGATAGCGAGCAAAGAGGGGGGGGTCCAGGGTATTCATCACTGTGCTGGTATGGTCTTGGTTCGCCTTGAAAATCTGGAGAGGAGAGAGAAATCAGTGGTACGCTTTGCTCTGCTGGTGTAGTGAGCCCATGACTTGAGGACAGGATCAACCCAGAGAAGCACCACTTGGGAATGCTTTAAGGAGGAAAAAACACAGCCCGGCTCACTGCTCTTGAAAATATTCTGTGAGCATGTTTGCTGCCAAGGGCTGTACTTGCTGCCCTGGGGGTGGCCATGGGCTGCCTCTGATCATGGAGCAGTTCTGCCTACCTTCTCTTTGCCGTCCTGCAGGACCGGGCTCCAGTGCACACCATTCTGACTGCTGGAGGCAGCAAACTCCTTCACAAACATGTGGGTGAAGACAGCTTTGGCACCTTGGGTTATGATTGCAGTAACCTTCTTTGTTACTTCAAAGTCCACCTGCAACCACTCGCTGGGGCTGTTGCTCTGGGGAAGGACAGACTGCCTTCAACCCTTCAGCAGCAATGAGAAAGACACGTTCATTGCAACTGAAGCCAAGCGAGCCCTGAACATAGTCCTGGGCTTCACCTGCCCTACTAGGTTGGAGCTGCTGGGTGCTAAATCAGTGCGGCAACTCTCCTGACTGTGTGCAGGCAGCTTGCATGATGCATGTGGCTGTACACACTCCCCACGCAGCCCTGGCTAGGAGATGTTGCAAGCACCCACCCTACCTGCTGGGATCCCTCCTGCCTGCCCATGCCCCAGCTGCCTGCCTGGGGATCTCCTTGCATGGGCTACCTTTGGCCTCCATGCGTTGGTCCTCCCCTGCAAGTTCAGGCGGGCCTGGGAGGGTGACCAACTGGAGAAGACATTGGTGCTGTAGGAGGATGCAGAGATGCGCTGGTCAGGGATCCCTCTCTTCTCCATTCCTAGAGGCATGGAGCAGCCTGGAAGAGAGGAGTGATGCTTGGCAGAGGAGGCAACAGTCCCATCATGGAGATGCCTTCTGGCTGCTTACTGCTCCGGCCGCCTTCCATGCACTTTCCCTGGTTACAGATTCTCCTGTTGTTTGCTGCAGTCATGGTCCCTGCACTGCTCAGGGCCCCTGTGTGCAGCATGGCTGTGGCTGGGGAGTGCCAAACTACACCTATCACTAGTTCCACCTTCTTTTCTCCCTCAAGATTCTATCTAGGAAGAATGTGAAAAATTTGTGCATCTGCCAGGACCCGAGTCGCACTGTGGGCCAGAGAAGTCTTGCCTTGGAGTGGCAAAACCTGAGGAAAAGTCAATAGCATTTGTCTCTGCTTGTTTCCTGCTCCCCCAGGCTGAGGCAGCAGCTCCCCAGCTATCAGCTTAGCTGCTGCTGGAGGTGTCTGGTGGTTCAGGAAAAAGCGGTGGTGAGAGCTGTCCCCATGCTCTCCCTCTGGTATTGCTATCTCTGAGACCATTATGAGATTTTCCAGCTTTGTTTCCCCAACATCTCAATGCCATCTCCAGCCTCCTCCTTCACCCTCCACAACTGCCTGTGCAGTCCTGAAATACGTGGAGCTGACACTCAGCACCCCACTGGATCAGGCCCCAGCTTTGGTGCTTGGTATCTGGGGGTGGGACATACTGTTCAGATCACAGCCAATGAGCTCCATGCGCAGTGTGGTCCTGATGTTGTAGTGAGTGGGGTTAATGCGGATGTACCGGGCTATGATTGGAGGGTTGAAGCGATTTTCTTTTACTCTGGTTGCATCCACATTTGCAAAGAACAGCTGCAGGGAAAGGGAGAAAAAGGATTATTGTACCAGTGGAAAGAGAGCTAGACAGGACAAGGATTAGTGGGGAGAAGACCATTTCTCTGTGGCATTTCTGTATCTTATCACCATCCTTGCAAGAGAACTGCAGCTCAGGGAAATGATTTCAGATGTGATTCAGACCAAAGAAGTGTGAATGGGCCATATCAGGGCGAACCACTGAGAAATGGGAGGAGAAACTTAGGGTCTGTGCAAATGAACATGTTTTTATATTTTCAGCAAACAGGGGAGAAAAAACAAGAAAAAAGAAGTCATTCCTGGGACTTTTGAACCTGGGAAAAGTTTTGGCCACAGCTGGTGTACATGATGGAGGCTTTTCTGGATACTTTTCTTCTCCTGCTGGAATGATCAGCTCATGCATAGGTCATAGTTTTTTCTAATGAGCAGAGATCCCCCAAATCATCTGCATCTGCACAATGTTTTTAGAAAGCCAAATTTGCCTTTGGAGTCAAAAAAGATATTAAGGCAAAATCTTATGCCTAGCTCTCAGTAACACACAACACAATGTTAAGTGGTGGATCTCACAGCCACTTGGGAATGTGGAAAGAAATAGCTCAATCAATTTAAAATGAGACAGATGGACACAGACAGCAAGTCCCTTGCAGAGCTGTGGTCTGTGATTCAGTCATCCTGGCAGTGAATTCTCACTGTTTCTGCCCTAATCAAATATGTCAGGGGCTCAGGAGATCTCTGCCTTGTGTACAGAGCTCCCTAGCCCTCATCACCCCAAGAGAACCCATTCTGGGAAGACAATCCTCTCAGGACCCGTTCACTTTACCATCTGGGTGCTGGTGGCATTCCCCTTGTATTTCCTCCACCTTTGCCCATCAAGGCTGTAGAAGACAACAAACTGGGAGATGTAAAGGCTGGAGAACTTTTGTCGGGCCCCTTGGGTTTTTATGCCGTGAATAATCATGACATGCAAGAGGTCCACCTGAGAATGAAAGTCAGGGATTCATTTGTGACAGAAAACCCAAGCCATGTCCATGCACTGTAAACTCGTGGAACTCACTTCCTCATGATGTAACTGAGCACAGGTTATGAAACTAGTCAAAACGGTTGTTCACAAGGGTGCAAGTTAGCTAACAGCTGGGAGAGGGCAGGGGAGAGGTGAGCTGTTCTCACTTGGTCTTTGGGGGATTTTTGCACAATCCAATGTTGCAGCTGGACCGTCAAGTGATTCCTCTGCTGCACTGAGGATGGATCTGCTGCTGATCCAGCAACAACCATGGCCAGACCAATTGCCACTAGGATCTCAGAGTTCTCCTCCCAGAGGGGGAGCAGGGGAAATAGAAGGACATAGCTGGAGAGACACTGGCCCTCCGTGCTGGTCCATCTGCACAGTGCATCAGCCACGAGCATGCCCTTGCAATGCTCCCACCAGTGCCTTCAGCCACAGGGCCCCGCTTACCTGGATCCAGGCATTGCTGCGGTCAGTGCTCCAAGCATTGATGGAGCCGGTGTTATCCAGCCTGGCCAGGTAAGGAGCCCACTGTCCTGTGAGGAGAGTGCACAGATATGGGGGTGCTGCTGGCCCCTGGCACTGCCCAGCCTGAGGAAGTGAGAAGTCCATCTGCAGGATAAGGCCTGAGGATCACCCTAGGATTTAGTAACCATATAGAGGGTGGCAGAACACTGACATAATGAACCAGACATCTGGGAAGGCACCTCCAGGTCCCGAATTGGACGCTAACATGGGCATGGATGGAGGAAGGACTCTGCCAGGGACCTAGTGTAGCAGAGCCTTGGGCAGGCAAGCATGCAAGTTGTGTTGGCTAAGACTTCCCCAGCCTCATATGTCTTCCTTACAGTGACAGCCCCTACTCACCATACTGCCCCGACGCTGTGATCTGAGAGTCTGCAATGTGGCCTGAGGCCAGGCCAAGGCTGTTTCGGCAGTCTGCAGCCAAACAGGGAGAAGCAGGGCAAAAACAGGGAGAGCTAGTTAGATAACAAGGCTTTTGAAGGAAAAGCCTAACCTGTGTAGCAACCTCCAGGCTCAGGGAGGTTGTGTCAAGCCTCCAGAAGCCCCCAGGCTTGTTTGTCTCACGTCAGTGGTGGGTTTCAGATGCCTCCACATTCATCCCTGAATTTTAGAGGTGCTGGAAGTTCTTGCTTCTGACCCCAATGTCAGCATCAGAGACTTCCTAGCATCAGCCACAGCAGCCTCTTGCTAAACTCCTCTCCCTGACTCCCCAGCCTCTCATTCCCGTGTCCTGATCTCCCAGCAACACTGCCAAGAGCCTCTTTCTTATACCCATGTCTTGCTCCTGGGCCTTTTTGTAGCTAGGCAGCATGTTTTAAATACAAATATCATGTTGCTAAAGGAAAGTCTGCCTGACACCCTTGTCTCTCTGTGTCTCTCTTCTGGTCTGCTGAGCGCAGGGCTGTTTGCCTTTTATAATAACCATTATTATTAGCGACTTGTCACATCTTGGCATCTCTGCTGCATGGCAAATGCTTCTGGGGAAAATGTGAATTTGAAATCTTAAGCAGATTTTTAACTTATGGAAACATTTTCTGTCTGACATTTAATAATCCTTTAGGAAGAGGAGAGAGACTGTCACTGAGTGATAAAATACTGCTCTCAGAAACCATTTCCCCCAGTGCTTACTTATGATGAGGTAGAAACGTGTGATTCTGGAGTGAATGGAGTCAGAGGTTTCCTATGGATTTTGCAGTTGTCTTTGGGGATGTTTCTGTCAGTGTAACCTGTAGTCAGGCAATGTCGCTTGCTGCCTCCTGCCATCACTCCGTGCTTCAGTTTACCTATTGACATGTGGTTAGGCAGCTGGGCACTGTACTTTCCTGACAGTGTGGGCAGGCACCAGCTTGTGCACACAATTGCTCGGGTAAGTGCATTCTACAGGAGGTCCAGGGACCCTCAATTTTGGAAAATGAGCTCTGGGAGCAAATATTTGGAGGCAAATGAAGCTGGTCTCCCAGCCTTCACCCCAACTGTGTCCCTGACTCTGTGCTCTCTGCTGGGCTGTGTAGGGTGGCAAGGGCTGAAGTCATGACATTCTTTCAGAGTGAAACCCCAGAAGAGCCCACTTGGGCCACCTCAGGGGAAACGCTGAGAGCTCCCGACAGGGAGCTCAAAAACATGCTGGCCGTGGCCATGGCAGCAAGTGGACCAGGGTGCAAAGGGGATCACTCACTCAGGTTGTACACAAGGAAAAGAGCATTCATTCCAGCTTGCTGGTGTTCTCCCACTTTGCACTCTACCCGCCAGATCCCAGCATGTGAAGGCCACATCTCCACTGTCCCGAAGACACCTGGCCGGGAATGGAGAGCAGAGCAGAGGGGGAGTTACTGGCTGTAATACAATGCCACAGTGTCAAGTGCTGTGCAAACACAGAGCCAGACTCTTCCAGATCCATTCACCCTCCTTGCTATCGCCCCACAGGCTTGGCACTTCCTAACAGGCATAGACATGAAGCCACAGCAGCTCAGGTGTGTACAGTGCCCGCGCCACATCTCACCGGGATAAAGGTTGTAGACTCCCATGCGATACTCCTGGCTAGTCCTGATGCTGAACAGCTGCCCGTGAAAGTGGACAGAGTGAATATCCTCTGTGCTGCCCATGTTCAGGAGGTGCCATCGGACCCGTTGCTGCTGAGCCATCACCAGCCCAGGCAGTGTGTCACTCACATAGCCGTTGATGGCTGGGGAAGGCAGTGGTCAGGAATGACTCAAGGCTCCAGGGTTTTTCCATCCCAGTATAGATTGTGGGATGGAAAGGGCAAAGGCAAAGGTGCTCACCATGGAAGGAATGGTTTCTCTTAAAGTCAGGGTCGTCCTGCTGGATGTGGCAAGGAGGGCGGCAGTTCCTTTCCATGTTCTCCAGGAAGTACCAGCTTTTGGTCTCATCAAAGATGGTGAAGAGCAGGGAGAACTCCTGCACAGCCAGCTGCCGCCTGAAAACGAAGCTCAGCACCCCACGGCGGCAGATAATCAGTGGCCCAATGAGGCCTGAGTGCAGGTCCTTCTCCTGCCAGGGAGCCAGGAAAGAAGGATTTGCATCAGAGCTGGAGGCAGTGCTGATGCCTGCAAGTGGCACAGATGCCAGGAAAGTGGTGGCTCTGTCTGCATCCCTGGCTTGGTTCCCACTCATGCACAGGGCATGGTACGTGCAGGGTGGGAAGGACCTGCTGGGTTCACTGGGGGATCCCCGCTCTGCCCCTAGCTAAGAAAGGCTCTGCAGCAAGTGTTTGCATGTACTTTCAAGAGAATTGGTGTCTGTCCGACTCTCCGACAGTCCCTACCCCACTAACACTGGAACCTATGGGCCAAATTCAGCCAAATTTGGCAGAGGGGTAGGGGACTGCAGAATGCTAGTTTCCTAAAAGTCTCATAAGCTGATACAACTGGGGAAAGGGGGAAAAAATTGATAAGAGAAGGGAAGAGAAGAGAAAGAACCAACATGCATTCATCACTGTATTAGACACCTGAGAATCTACACCGCCACAGGATGCTTTCAGCACAGCACCATTCGAAAAGCCTTGACCTCAGAGCCAGGAACCAGGCGTGCTGACCATCTCTCCTTCCTGGGATGCCTCATGGAGCACGCTCTCACCTACCAGGTTCACACTGGAGAAGTAAGCCCAGGCCTTGCAGTCGAACTCCTGCGTGGTGGGTGCCATCTGGGGCAGGACTTTCCAGGAGTACTTCCGGAGCTCCCCAGGCTGCACCACCTCTCCACCTTGCATTGCGCCCTGCGTCTCCTCATAGGCTTGCAGTGTGGAGTGGAAGGAGAAGGGCCGTGAGGCCAGGTTCTTGAACGTAACCTGTACCGGAGGGATGGCAAAGCAAAGGGAGTGTGGGAGGGGGCTAGGTGCAGCACTGAGAGTGCCCTGGACCCTGTGGTTGGATCCAGCCAACTGGTGGGAAGGAGGCAGCCATGTCGCTGGTGCCCAGACCTCCAGCTGGGCCCCATGCAGTGGCCAAACCCTGC